CCTTTACCCTCTTCTACCTCCCCTTTAAACCATTACATTTGTTTAATGTAACATAACATGTAACGTAACAGCAGCAACAGGAGGAAAAGGGAAGGTGTGGTGCCTGCCTGCGGGAGTCAGAGAGAAAGCTAGGTAGGTGTCCTGGTTTCCGCTTGAGTGGCAGTGACAAAAAATGGTGTAGGAAAAAATATGGAATAAGAAGCAGATTAGGGATAAAAGAGACCCCATGGTCAAAAATTGGCAGATTTGCCCTGGCTGGTGTGGCTCGGTTGGGAGTTGTCCCATAAACCAAAAGGTCGCCAGTTCAATTCCCAGTCATGGCACACGCCTGGGTTGTGGGCCAGGTCCCTGGTTGGGGTTGTGCGAGGTGTAACTGATTGATGTTTCTCTCCCTCCCTGGCTCCCTCCCTTTTCCTCTCTCTAAAAAATAAAAAAAATATTTTTAAAAAAATCTTAAAAAAAAAAGACATTGGCAGATTTGTATGGCATTAAGAAAAGAAGGCACAAGTAGAAGAAGATGATGAATTTGATTTCCTCTCTAGTCCAACCGGGACTCCCTTCTCTCCAGAAGGGAGTCGGTGTTGGCTGGTAGCCTTCGAGGGACTAAGCCAGGATGGAGCCATTAGAGGCCTGTAAGCTGAAACAATTAGGAGGCCCGAAGGCCGCATTTCAAGAATGGGACTCCAGAGTTTACCGTTTCACATGTGGCACTTCGGAGGTGAGGACAGTACGCTTCGACAGGTGCCTGACAGGCCTATTTTCCTCTCAAATGGTATGTTTGTTTGAATACCTTTTCTAGTGAGAGGCTCTATGCCTTTCATCAGACTCCCAAAGAGTCTCTTATGGCCCCATAAAAACTAAGAATCGGTGTTAGGTAGCACCATTCGTACCTCATTCTCACATTTTCAGACATGTGTCATCCAGGTGCTCTGTGAGCGTAAGATAGATGTTTCTTTATAAAATTTTACTCAGGATCCAAGAAGGGCTCCTACCCACATGTGGGGAAGAAAATAAGAGCACAACAGCAAAATCGTAGGCTGACAGGTTAACAACATTTTCATAGTGTCCATGTTCTCCAATGTTTCCGTTTAGAATTTAGGCAAATGGGGTTGTGTGCATTGGCAAGCATTTGGTATATGGCATCATTTATATTTATAAATACATACATGTTTTAAGGCAGCCGTGCTTTTTTAAAAAGGAGGTTTTTAGATTTCTTTGTTCCTAGGCTTTGGTGGACAATAACATTTGAAGAAACTCTTTCTCTGGCATCAGAGTTAATAATCTGTTCTCATAACCTGAGAAGTGATAGAATTTGAACTGAGTGCTACTTCTTTTAATGTCTGAATACTGCCTGCTTAGCTTGACAGATAAAATGGGAGCCAAGATTAGAGAGATTAGAAAGTCATGTCTATAACCACAGCACTCTGTGTAGAAGTTATTTGCAGCAACTGAAGCAAGTGCATCTCATGTAAGGGCCAGCCTTTTTATTGTTAGGTGCAAAAATGAGAGCATTGCCAAGTTATTTTTGATGGGAGGTTTCCTTGTACTAAATCTTCAGAAAACAGTATAATGTATAATACAGTCAATTGGAATTCCAGGACAACAATTACTGAAGTGAAATATCTTTTCTGATAGAAAAATAACTTCATTCTGTTCTTCTCACAAGTGCTTGAGGAGGTGGGGCCTTGAACAGCGTGAGGTATCGCGAGAAGCGCCAGTACTCATCGCTCCCAATTATATATTTTACAAAGCACCTTTTCCATTTATCTCATTGCATCTTCACGAGAATCCTAGGAGACATAGCTAGTATTATCCTCTTATACTAAGTGAGATAAAATATTGGTAAGATACATGATAAAGTTTGGATTAGAATATTCTGACTCCAAACCCCATGCTTTTTCCACTGGACTGCAAAGCTGGGAAAAACGTTGAAGTGTCAGTTGACAGATGATCCTAAATGCAGAGTTGAGCAACTTACATTCAGTATTATGTTGAGTAGATACATTCATGATTTTCAGTTGTGAGAATGGCCAAATTAAACTGCTCTTGGCCCTGGCTGGCTAGCTCAGTTGGTTAGAATGCCAACGTTGTGAGTTCAATCCCTCATCAGGGCACAGACAACAATCAACCAATGAATGCATAAATAACTGGTACAACAAATTGGTGTTTCTCTCTCTCTCCTCCTCTCTCAAAATCAATTAATAAAAAAATTAAAAAATAATGGGGGTGAGTGGAGCAGGGAAGAGCAACGGGGGGAAAATCAATTTACTTTTAAGGAATAGTAAATTGTGAATGGTGATTTTCCTTGTTCCCATGTAATTCTCCAGAATCCCAAACAGTTTCCTTTAAAAACAAAATGATGCCTTGCATGATTGGCATATGACTATATTTTAAAAACTTATCTAGAAACTGGGAACATTAGCTACTCTATGTCTACTTCTTGTGTCCTCAGTTAACATGATCTCCACCCCTGATTCTCTGGTGGTTCCCTGGCTCAGGGAATTCCGGTTGTTTAATGTAGCCTGAATGCTTTAGGTTTTAAATATTGAGATAAAGTAACACTGAACAGTTTTCTCATTTGCTTTGGTTAACATTAGTCTGCCATGATGCATTATACTCTCAGTTGCCTTAACAGATAAACAAGAATTAAATTTCAGTTATGTTAAGTTCTGTGTTTTCCAAAGAAATGCTAAAGGGAAAGGCTTATGTTAGGATCAAAAGCATAAAAAGAACTATTACGCAATGGTTTAGTTTGTACTCAAGTGTAAAACATGTAGGAATTTAGAAGAAAAAAACCCACTTAGGAACAGAACGTTTTATAATATAAATAAAAGAAATTTTAATGTTTTGTTGTTGTTGTTGTTAGCCTTTAAAATAAGTGTTGGGCTCATGGGTCCAAGTTCTTAAAATTAGGAAGAAGCTGATGGAAACAGTAGCCTCCCCAAATCTGCCCCCCAGGCTTCAGAGCCCAGCTTGTGCCGGCTTTCTCTCAGTCCTTGAATGTGCTGTGTTTCATCCTGTCATTTGTCTGTGGCACAAGCTGTTTCCATAGGCTGAAATACTCTTTATACATCTTCTGGAATTCAGCTCAGAAGCCACTTCTTCAAAGAGGCAGCTGATCCCCTTCCCCTGGGATAGGTCAGGTTCAGCTCTCTGGTGCCCCACCTCCTGCGGCTTAGACAGCATTACCAGGATCGTGCGATGGCATGCTCCGCGAGGGCAGGAGCTGGGTCTGGCTTATGAGTAAGCTAGACTTATGAGTAGGCTTGGCTCTAAGCCAGGCACCAAGGGCGGAGTATACAGAAGGCACTCACATGTTTGTTGACTGAAGTTCAACACTTATTAAGCACCAAGTGCTTTACTTCATTAATGCCTCACGATAACACTTTAGGTAGATAGTATCCCCATTAACAGATGAAGAAAGTGAGACTAGAGAAGTAACTTGCTCAAGGTCACACAGTCAACAAATGACACAGCCAGGACTTGACCTAGAGCACTTTGATGCCAAAGCCAGTGTCATATTGTCATTTCTTTTCCTCACTGCATGCAATTATCCTACTGACAAGCCAGCGTTGTGAGCACAGTACTATATGATCTGCCCCAGGAAGTAGACAGAGGGTCTGGTCAAAAAGCAGCAATGAGCTTATACTGGGCATTTGTGGCGTGCCTTCCCCGTATCCATTCCTGCTTTTGTTTTCATCAATTTTTTTAAAAGATTTTATTTATTTTATTTTTAGAGAGAGGGGAGGAAGGGAGAAAGAGGGGAACATCAACTGATTGCCACCTGCACGGCCCGACCAGGGGGCCTGCCTGCAGCCCAGGCCTGTGCTTAGATCAGGAGTGACCTTTTGGTTCTCAGGCCGGCACTCAGCCAGCTGAGCTCCGCCAGCCAGGGCCGCAGCCGGTTTTCATGTAGATGATGGATCCACAGCTCTTCTTGTCTCAGTGTTCCAGCCCCAGGGGTGGAACACTGTGACTTGTACTTAAGACAATCAGCATAAACCACCCCATCTAAACATTATCGATTCAGGGACGGGCTTGTGACCCAGTATTGTCAATAAAAGCCACTTGAGACTCACTCCTCAGGCTGTTGGAATGATCATAACTGTGTTTTCTGGGCCTGAGGAGGAAAGCAGTGAGAAGGTCATATTAGCAATTAGTCAAAATAGGTTTTGTGATCTTGGGAATCAGGGCTTATAAGACTTGCTCTGTAACTTGCGGAATATCAGAGTCATTTATTTCTTTACACCTCAGTGTTGTCCCTAGAAAGTGGAGATATTTGCCAAACCACTTATGCAAAAAGGAACTTGTAAGAACGTGTCTAGTACTTTGTGCTATTAGTTACCTTCCAGCACGCCAATAAGATTTCATGTCAACCTGTGGCTATTTATAGAGAGGGGAAGGGAAGGAGAAAGGGGGGGAGGAGAACATCAATATGTGAGAGAAAGATCCATCAGTTGCCTCTCGTATGCACCCCAACTGGGGATATACAACCCAGGCATGTGCCCTGACCAGGAATTGAACTGGTGACTTTCCAGTTTGTGGGACAACCCCCAACAAAGTCATGCCATGCAGGGCACAGCCTGTGGCTTTTCGTATTCCTCAATCACTAGCTGACCTAAACCATAGTGAGGTGGGTAGATTAAGGAGGTTCCTACTTTGTGGAGACCGCAGAGGCTGGAGATTCCTGTTCCAGGGCACAGGAGACCTGAGATGAGTGTCCTAACCCTGCTGTAACGGTAACTGTTTTCATGTTCAGAAGAGTATAGTAAGCTTCCTTTCTTTCTGCTCTATAGATTGCACAAATGGGGCCTTTGGACTTGAACTTTTCAAAATGCATTCTGATCCTTCCAAAAATTGGTTTTTCTAAAATCTGCTAGCTGTGTTTATAGCTTACTTGGCTGGAGAAAGAAAAATCTGTATGTTCCAATAGCTTAACTTTCCATGAGGAAAGAAAGCCCTTCCAGAGACATTAAGAAAAATGAAACCAAGCCAGCAAATATATAAACCATTTATTTTATTTGTTCCTAAAATGCATATGAATTTATTGATTTTATATTTAAAATAGTCCTTTTGCAAAAATCATCTCAGAAATATACCAAATTTATTAAAATACATGCAAACTATTGCTGAAAAATCCCACTCTTAAATCCTCTGACTGATCACCCCAATGATTATTTTGAAAGCACTTGTTATGATTTTCAGAGGTTTCCACAGTTGCTGCGAACAAAGACATCGTGTTGGGATGGGGTGGAAGTTTGATCCGAATAATCCAAAAAATACCCATTTCATTACAGACTCATAGGTTGCCTGGTTTTTAGGGGCTCTTACAAAGTGTACCTAATTATACGTTTCCCTAATTACACAAGGTTTTCCTAATTACAGTGGGTCTCTTTCTTGCCTGCAATTTACTACATTCAGCAAAGTATATGCTAGATTATAAGGAAAATGAACCCAAGAACATAGATAGTTTCATGAATATACTCAAGTGTCAGATATATTTTTCATCTTAAGAATTGAAGACAGGAATGCAGAAAAACACACTTGGGTGGACAGTGGAATAAAAGGTGTGCCAGAGGTCGCAGAACTAGGGACAACATCCTGGTACATTAATTTTGAGAGCCAGCCCAGTGACACTAAGACCAACAAATAGATTCAGATTTTTTTTAACAAATCTGTGCTATTTAGATTTGGACTTTCAGCTCATCTGTCTTTGTTCAGTTTGTCAGTCATTAAGATCTTCTTATTTCTCCTTTTACAAAGTCTTCTTTTGCATGATTTAACTGCTTATTTCACCAAGCTCTCAAAAAGGGGGTGAAATTTAAATCTGTTGGGTTGCCACTTGAGACAGGTGAAAACATTTTGGAGGTACTGAATAAGGTTTGGGGATAATGGTAGACTTCAATTACCAAATCTCACTATTTCCTTTTAAAGGAGAGTCCAAAGCTGTTTTGTTTTTGATTTTTTGGGAGACAGTAGAAAATGGCTAAGTAGGATATAATGTAAACTTTTTGGGATGAAATTCAACTTTACCTAAAAAAGGGTTTCTCTTCTCCCAATTAATATTTTAAACTGTGAAACTGAAGCCTGAAATTATTTAGGCCATTCAGTTAGTGCTCTACTTCCTCACTCGCACTATTTCACAGCATATCCATAGATGTGAGGGCGCACCAGCTCCCAGGACACCGGGGCCTGTAAGTGCTGCAGCTTCAGCTTGGAGAAGCTGGCCTTCTCCACGGCCTTCCAGCTCTCTCTGGTCAGGTTGCACCCGTCAAACAGAAGGTACCAGACCGGATCCAGGACCTGCTGCCAGAAGTAATTCCAGGTTGAACGCTCAGCTACTACGTGTTCCATGAAATAAAAAGCCCCTCCCTGAAAAAGAGAAAGGGAAACACATTTCAAGGATTTTAGTTTGGGGAGAACAGATTTACAAGATGACTGAAGCATCAAATTTCAGTGGCCCCAGAGGTCACCTTCACAAGAAGACATAGATAAGTTAAAACTTATTGAGACATCATTTTGGTCAATAGTTTCATCTTCTGTCAAATTGTACACAGAGCGGCCAATCTAAAGCAGTTATTCACACTTCTATTTTCTGATCATTTAGCATGTAAACATAATATATACATAGGTAATAGCTAACACTTAAAGCAGTTACTGTGTACAAGGTGCTATATCCTTAATGCCTATCATCTGTTAACTCAATCCTCAATGCAGTTACTTGGTAAGTATTATTTTAAAAGATTTTATTTATTTATTTTTAGAGAGAGGGGAAGGGAGGGTGAAGAGAGGGAAACATCAATGTGTGGTTGTCTCTCATGCACCCCCTACTGGCCCGCAACCCCGGCATTTGCCCTGACTGGGAACTGAACCAGCGACCTTTTGTTTCACTGGCTGGCACTCAATCCACTGAGCCACAGCAGCCAGGGCTGGTATTATTATTATCATCCCTATTTTTATAGATGAGGGAGCTGAGGAAGTGAGCACACAGAAAATAAGCAAGTTGCCTAAGTTAACCAGCTTGTAAAGGTCAGAATGAGGTTTTGAACTGCAGTGGTTAGGCTCCAGAGCCTGGCAATACTGTCTCACCAATGTTTATTTAAAAAAAAATTTTTTTTTTAATTTAGAAAATACAGAAAAGTGTTTAAAAAATCAACTACCATGCCATCACCTCATGATAACTACTGTTAGGGTTTTGTGTATACTTTTATATATGAAGATGTATTTTCCCCCCAAAACTAGGATTGGAATATATGTTCTATTTTGTAACCTGCTTGATTTTATTTATGTATCTATTATTCTAAAACATAATTTAAAAAATCTTACACAATATTTCACACCACTGAAGGTATCATGTTATTTATTCTCATTGAGATTATCTCCAATTTTTCTCTATTAGAAATATGCTTACCCATAAATCTTTGTGACCATCTCTCATTCTTTCCAAATAACTAACTTGCTAAAAAGTGGACTTGCTGAGGCAAGTCTGTCTTTTAAAAGCTGTTGGTATAGGCTGTCAAATTGCCCTTCGGAAAAGTTGTGGCAAATTTATATTCATATGAGCAATGGCTGTCAGTGCCCAATTCCAGTAAACTCTCATTAGTACTTTTATCCCCCCATATCTTTGTTAATATGATGGGTAAAGTGTTATTTCATTTTCAGTACTATGTATGTCTTTAATATTCTTAATAGATATAACATCTTTTACTAAACCCTATTGATTATTTGGATTTTTTTCTTTTCTAATTTGCCTGTTGATGTTCTTTATCAGTTTTCTAACAAAGTGTTGGGTTTTTTTCTTACTAATGAGTAAGGACTTTCAGTATAAGACTATACTACAAATATTTTCCCCAGTTATTTGCCTTTTAATTACTCTTAAAAAAAAAACAACTCTACTTCTTTTACTTAAAAAAAATCTTAATTCATGTGAAAATTGTTCTCATGCTCTGCTTTGCAAATCTGTGGGAGAGTCTGAATCCACACCAAGCACCACCTGAGACTGAATAACCATGCCTTATACTTTTGTACCATTGTCACAAGAATATAAATATGATTAATTAAAATACTGAATCATCTAAAAGTGTCACTGAATTCATGCTAACATTTTGTCAGTAGGTATTTTATTCAATTAGTGGACGCCCTGTGTAAATCACTGTCTTGTAGGAGTTTGAAAGTGCTGCTTTCATCTAGGACAGTCCTATAGAGAAATAGGTCAAGTCTAGACACAGTAAGGGTTACCCGTTACTAGGCGGTCCTCAGAAGTTTTCTACCTGTCCCTGAGGCGAGTAGGCGGAAAGGAGCCTGACAATCACTTCCAAAACCCGTAGTGACTGCTCCACTCTTCTTTGCCTCCTTTAGGTACCCCAGTCTTGGCTCTCCCAGCCAGAGTGTTGAGAGATGGGGTTCCCCAAATTCTCTGGGTAAGTCTAACATCTGTGTTTATGAGTGGAAAACTTAAAATTTCTTGATTTAAAAAAATACAAAAACAAAAAAACACCACCAGAGAACAGTACAGGAGAGAAAGGAGGAGACCCGGACCTGGGAGGTCGATACTGCCCTCTGCATAACACACATATATAACACATAATATGTATATACATAATATATATACAGTGTTAGCTGGACATGCAGGTTTGGGCTTAGAAGAGAGAGCTGGGCTACATACGTAGTTCGATTTGGAAACCGTCTATGTATGGCTGCTGACTGAAAACTTTTGGAGGTGAGTGAGATTGCCCTCGGGGGTGTATAAGTAAAATGAAAATCAAAAGGGAAACTCCAGTATTTAGGTATGCGTGGAGAAAAAACAACAAACGTGGTAGAAACGTTGAAGTCAGAGAGATAAAAAGCCCACATAACAAGCAACGTGGAGCAGCGGAACCCCTTTCAACATATGGTCCATTTAAGAGTTTGGTTCATTGAAATTCTTCATCACTATTTTTAAATTCTGCTTGAGCTTCCAGTTTCTCTAGGCCTTCATCTTTCTGCCTTCCCATGCCAAAAATGGCAAATAATGCAGGTGAAACATAGAAGGTATGGGCCCTGGGGATGCCTGTGGTGCCATAGCCGAACAAAACTGATAAGCAGGTCATTAAACCCAAGACAAACGGCACCAGCCTACACTGTCAGATGGTTATAGCACATTGCCCAAATGGCTATAAAAAATGTCTCATCACCCAGTCCTGATACAGTGAGTGATCACTGATACGGCGGCGACAAAGGCATGACCAAATCCCGAATTAGTTTCCGTATCTGGATCTTCTTTTTTTGGTATGAACGGGGACAGCTGGCGTGAGCGTTTTCTCAGACGCAATTATGGGTCCAGTTCCACACTACCGCAATAAAGCCGGTCGTGACCTTTCTGCTGGAGGGGTCTTGCCTCGAATTTGGAAAGAACGTAACACCTCGGCCAGGGCCGGCTGGGGCCCTGCTCGGCCACGGGCTGCGCTGTGGCAGCCGAGCAGGCGTGGGCTGTTCCTTATTCAGGTGGCTAAGGTCTCGTGACCCTGGCCGGTCGAAGCAGCAAGGACAGAAGCGGAAGCAGCCGGGCGCAGGAGCCCAGCTGCTCCCGCCCCTCAGGCCTCGCCCCCTCTGCGCCCCGCCCCGCCCCGCCGCCGCCTCCCCCCGCCTCCCCCCCCCCCGCCCAACCAACCCCGCCCCCCACCCCCCGACCCTGGTTTAGTAGGCAGTGGGCGTTGCAAGGGGAGTGACAGTGGGCACGCAGGGTTTGGGCCTCCAGCCCGGCTGGGCTCTCCCCTCTCCCGCGATGGCCACAGGACTCGTCACCTGTGTCTCAAGGGTTTTTCTTACAGATTTAAAAACTCCTATTGACCTTTGCCTTGTAAGGTCTTTTAATACGAAGGAAGTTAAACCCTTTGTCTATCATCCCTGGCAAATACTTTTTCTAGGTTTTTGTACTTTACCTTTCTTTATAGTAGTTTTTTTCCTGCAGGTTTAAAATTTTATATATTTGGATTTACCAATCTTTCCCTTTACAGCTTATTTCCCACTCCAAGATTAAAAAGAAACACAACCCTCAGTAATGTCTTCTCTAGTTTATTTTTTACCTTAGAAATGTTTAATTCACCTGAAATTGATAGGACCGCCTTTGGTGAGTGTTCGCTACTAATCAGCCCTCCTCACGCCGCCTCACTCACCGGCCTCAGCACTCTGCACACCTCCTGGAGGATCCGCTCCTGGTTCTCCACGGAGCACAGGACCAGGGTGCAGACCACCACATCCATGGAGCCGTCGGCCACCTGGTGCATGTTCTCCCCCGCAGCCACCACGAAGCGCTCAAACTGCAGGTGTCGATTCTCAGCAATGCTCTTGATCAAGAACTTCTCAAAGTTGGGGTTGGGGTCAACGCAGGTCACACTGCATCCAGGCGGAAAGAACTTGAAGTTGGCCCCGGTGCCACAGCCCAGCTCCAGCAGGGAGAGCTTCCCGGAAGGGCCTGCAAACTCCTTCAGGTTGCTGAACAGCTCGCGTTTTTTGCTCACCATCTCTTCGTTGTACTTCACACTGAGCCTCACCATCAAGTAGGGGAACATTTTTTTGCATAGCCAGCTCCACAAGCCCAGAAGGTTCAGCAAGTATATGGGAGACGCCAGGATAGAGATGGCCAGCCGGAGGATGAAGATGGTAAGCGCCATTACTCGGAAGAGAAAAAAACCGTCCGTTTCGAGATCTGACTCTGTTTATAGCAGGAAGTGGCGTTTGGCCGACATTCCAGAGCTTATCAGCTTCAGGGTAAGGAACTGGCTGTGCTGCAATAGAAAGCTGCAGCAGACGTCAAATCCGGAGCGAAGGCTGTTTCACCCAATTAGTAGACTTTTGGCAAACGCTGACTCATAGCTTTATTTTCTTGAAGCAAAATGAGAAGGTTCCTAGCTTTTCCTTAGATGGAAAGGTGACTGCAATATCTTCTTCCAAATCCGTTCCTGCTTCCCCTTCTCTGGGCTCGGAAACTACTGCTAGTTTCCAGCCGCAGTTTTCTAAGCGCAGTGCACTTACTCCCTATCCAGGTCTTCCACTGACTTCTGTACTGAAAACAGAGTCCATGGGTGGAGCCTGGCTGAACTGTAGGAAGAAGGCAGCCTAGTGGTCTTCGCTGCCACCTCCCCTCCTCCTGTTCCCGCCCCTCTTCCACTTGTGTTTTGAATAGGAAGTTGAAAGGACAAGCCTACCGGCCACAGTTAACAAGAATGTTTTTCCCTTTTGCATTCTGTGCTGAGGTTCTCAGACCCTAGCTCAACAAAATAATTTTTAAGTCACTGTTCTGGGCTGCTCATCTTTTAAAGGGCAAGTTCGGTCGGTGGTTCCTTCCTTCCTTTCTTATTTTATTTGTTCTTTTTTAGAGAGAGGGAAAGGGAGAAAGAGGGGGAGACAAACATCAATTGGTTGCCTTTCCTGGAGACAGAACCTGCAACACAGGCTTGTGCCCTGACCAGGGATCCAGCCGGTGACCTTTGGCGTTGCGGGAGGACTTCCAACCAACTGAGCCGCACTGGTCAGGGGTAAAGGGCAAGTTTCAACTCCAAATTATACACTACCACATTATTCAGCTACTTTAGATTAAAAATAGTTCTCCAGAATATTCACGTTTGGGAATCACAAGCATTTAAAAAAGTACTTTGCCATCCATCTGTTTTTAACAGGAAAACTTGAGTTTTAGGCTGGTAGGGGAATTACAGAAATTTTCAAAAATAATGGTGACATATACTTTTTTAAACTGGGTGATTGATACAGAGAATGGTACGTTATTTCATTGTTTGTGATACCCTATATATATTTTATAAATATATTGTATCTCTTCAATTTTAACAGCCTTTTTTGAGGTGGAATTGGTGTACAATAAACTGAATATTTAGGCTCAGAGCTGCAGAGGACAGGCCAATGGCTGCCTGCGGGAGGGCGTTAGAGGTGAGAAAGCTGAGGGGATGGAGAAGTACAAGGTGGTAGTTTCAGAACAGTCACAGGGATGTAAAGTACAGCACAGGGAATATAGTCAATAGTATTATCATATCTACATACGGTGCCAGGTGGGCACTGGGAATATTGCGGGAGCACTTTGTAAAGTATATGATTGTCTAACCATGATGCTGTACACCTGAAACTAATACAAAGTAATATTGAATGTGAAAAAAATATGAACTTTTCGATTAAGTAAAAAATAATCTACGTATTTACAGTGTACAGTTTAATAAATTTTGACACATTATGTACATACCTGTGAAACCATGACTTCAAACAAGATAATGAACAGATCCATCATCCCCACAAGTTTCCCCTTTGCCCTCTGTGGTCCTCCCTCCTGCCCTCTCCATTCCGAAGCAACTGCGAGAGATTAGTTTGCATTTCCTGGAATTTGATGTAAATGGCATCGCAGATTATGAACTTTTTTGTTTGGTTTCTTTCACTCAGCATATTTTGAGGGTCACCCCACGTAGTTGCCTGTATCCATTGATTTTATTGCTGAGTCATATTCCATTGTAGGGTTGTATAACAGCTTGTTTATCCATTTCCCTGCTGCTGGACCTTTGGGTTGTTTCTGGGTTTTGGCTGTTCCAAATTAAGCTACTGTGAACAAGTATGCAAGTCTTTGTATGGACCTATGCTTTCATTTCTCCTGGATAAATTCTTATGAATAGAATATAGGTGTATGTCTAACTTTTTAAGAAACTGCCAAACAGTTTTTCAAGGTGGTTGTACCATTTCATATTTCCACTTGCAGTGTATGAGAGATTTATTTGCTGTACATCATCACCAACACTTGGAACGGCTGTCCTTTTAATTTTAGCAATTTTAAAGGTGCATAGTGGTCTCTCATCTAAAGTAGTTTTTCTTTAATCATCATCTGAGGATATATTTTTTTAATTTTTTAAATACAAAGTTATTTTAGAGAGAGGGGAGGGGAGGGAGAAAGAGAGGGAGAGAAACGTCAATGTGTGGTTGCCCCTCACGTGCCCCCTACTGGAGACCTGGCCTGCAACTCAGGCATGTGCCCTGACTGGGAATCAAACCAGCGACCCTTTGGTTCCCAGGTCGGCACTGTATCCACTAAGCCACAGCAGCCAGGGTCAAAATTAATTTTTAGAGAGAGAGGAAGAGAAAGAGAAAGAAAGAAATATTGACAGAAAGAGAGAAACATTGACGTGCTGTCTCTCTTAGGCACCGCAAACGGGGATTGAACCTGCAACCTGATCGGTGTACCAGATAATGCTCCAGCCAGGGCTCCCTATACTTTTAACTTGTATTTCCCTAATGATTAATGATGTTGAATATCTTTTAATAGGTTCATTTGCCATCTGTGTACTTTATTTGGTAAAGTGTTTAAATCTTTTGCGCATTTTAAAACTGAGTTGTCAAGAATTTTTTGTGTATTCTAAGGCATTTATCAAATATGTGATTTGCAAATTCTCTTTCTGAGTCTGTGGCTTGTCTTTTTATTCTCTTAGCAGTGTCACCCCCTTTGCCCATCCCCCACCCACCACCTCTGGTCACTACCAATCTGTTCTCTGTACCTGTGAGTTCCTTTTTGTTCTTTAGATTCCACATGCATATATAAATGACATCACACAGTATTTGTCAGTCACTTTCCAAATGACTGGCTTATTTCACTTGAAATAGTGCCCTCAAGGCCCATCCATGTTGTAACATGGCAAGATTTCATTCTTTTTTATTGCTGAGTAATATTCCATTGTATATATTCTTTATCAACTCATCTATGAATGGACACTTAGGTTGCTGCAATGAACATAGGGGTACATGTATCTTTTCAAATTAGCTTTTTTGTTTTCTTTGGATAGATACCCAGAAGTAGAATTGCTGGGTGGTATGGAAGGTCTATTTTAATTTAATTTTTTATTTTTTGATTTAATCTTTACTGTATTTTTTCCATTACCATTTAGTCCCCTTATACACTCCTCCCCCCGGCAATCACCGCATTGTTGCCCATGTCCATGAGTCCTTTTTCCTTTTTATTTAATACCTCTACCACCTAACCTTCCCCTACCCAAAAGCTCTTTTTAACTTTTTGAGGAATCTCCATACTATTTTCCATAGTGGCTGCACCAATTGCAATCCCACCAACAGTGCATGAGGGTTCCCTTTTCTCCACATCCTGGCCAATAGTTGTTATTTGTTGATTTTTTGATAATAGCCATTTTGACAGGTGTGAGGAGATATCTCATTGTGGTTTTAACTTGCGTTTTTCTGATCGTTAATGACATAGAGCCTCTTTTCATATGTCTGTTGGCCATCTGTATGTCCTCTTTGGGGAAATGTCTATTCAGGTCCTGTGCCCATTTAAAAACATTTAACTTATTGGGATAACATTAGTTAATAGTATATAAATTTCAGGTGTACAGTTTTATAATCTGGCATCTGTATACTCTATTGTGTGTTCCCCATATTTGACCCTCTTTGTACCCTTACCCCTCTGGTAACCGCTGCTCTGTTTTCTGTATCTATGAGGTTTTTTGTTTGTTTGTTTCTTTCTTTCTTTCTTCTTGTTTTATGTCCTCTCTGCCCAATTTAAAATCAGATTGTTTGCCTTTTTGGTGTTAAGTTGTAAGAATTCCTTATATATTTTGGAAATTAACCCCTTATAGACTTTATCACTGACAAATATCTTCTCCCATTCAATAGGTTGTCTTTTTGTTTTGTTGATGGTTTCCCTTGCTGTGTAAAAACTTTTCAGTTTGATGTAGCCCCATTTGTTTATTTTCTTTTGTTGCCATTGCCCAAGAAAACATATCCAAAAAGATATTTCTAAGAGCAGTGTCAAAGTGCATGTTGGCTGTTTTCTTCTAGGAGATCCATGGTTCCAGGTCTTATATTTAAGTCGTTACCATTTTGAGTTTATTTTTGTATGTGGTGTAGCTTTGTAACATAGTTTGAAGTTGGGAAGCATGACACCTCCCACTATGTTCTTTCTCGAGATTTCTTTGGCTATTTAGAATCTTTAGTTCCATACAAATTTTAGAATTAGTTCTAGTTTTGGAAGAAGTGCCATTGGTGTTTTCACAGGGATTACATTGAATTAGCATATTGCTTTAGGTAGTAAGAACATTTTAACAATATTAATCCTTTAAGTCCATGAGTATGGTTGTGGGTTAATTTTTATTTTTTTAATCCTCACCCAAGGACATGTTTATTGACTTTATAGATAGAGGAAGGTTTAGAGAGAGAAAAAAACATTAATGTGAGAGAGAAACATTGATCTGTTGCCTCCTGTAGCTGCCCCAACAATGGATCAAACCCCACGACCCAGGCCCGGGCCCTGACCAGTGATGGAACCCGCAACCGTTTGTTGTTCAGGATGGTGCTCCGACCAACTGAGCCACCTGACCAAGGCTGTGGTTTTATTTTTTACATTTAAATCCTTGATCCCAGTTTGGAATTTATCCTCGGAAAAACTAGGAATTATGGAGTTATCTTTTCTCTCAGTTGGCTACTCAGTTGACCCAACATCATTTATTTTTTAATCTGTCTTTTCTGCATTGCGTTTGTTGGTGGTTGTAAGAGACATGTCGGTGGGTTGGGTTTGCCACCTCTGGTCGCACAGCCTTTCCCATTTCCTTTCCATCCTGGCCTATAATGCCACAGTCCTAGCCTGGGAGACATTCAGCCAGGCAGCTGATGAGGTTTTACCTTGCTGGCTCCGAAATGCATGTGGTTCTCAGATTTAGGTGTTCTTATAAGAGTCTTTGTGTATTAATGTAACAGATTTAGTTTGTTTGGTGTATAGACCCACCAAGCACAAGATGGAAAGAACATTGAGAAATTTCATAGACAACGAATGTGACTTCCGGTAGCCAAGGACTCTTGCTGCGTCGACATAACACAGGCTAAATGGCTTGAGATGAACTCTTGTTGACATGTTCTTAGGAAATAAATATCTTTTGAATTTGGGAAAGTGTTAGGTAGAAAATACTTAATGTAACTCCAGTGGACTGTTTAGTGAGATTTTTTTTCCCTTAAACTTTGTATTTTTAATGTTTACTTAGCTTGGGAATGTAAATACTTTTAGTTAGAAAGTCTTCACTTATTTTTGGATATTAAATAAGGAA